AGGGGGAGAAAGAGACAGAGAGGGAAGAATGAGACACAGGGAGAAAGAGGGGGAATAGAGAGTTGGGGGAGGGGGGAGAAAGAGAGGGAAGAATGCCCCCCTCCCCTGTCCGCAGGCACCGTGCGGGCAGGGGAGGAAGAGAGGACCTGGGAGCTCACCCTGCAGCTCCTCTGGGTCCTTCTTGCGCGAGCACAGAGCGTTGCCGCGGTTACCATGGCAACGTTACTGCCAACTCTACTCTAGTCAACTCTAGCCCTGGAGCTACGGGCTAGAGTTCACTCTCAACACTGTAACCCCCATGGATTCCTGGTGGTCGCAGTGGTGAGAGTGAACTCTAGCCCCATAAACACACTGCCCCCACACACACACCATACACATTCACACCCTGCCCCCATACACACCATACACATTTACACACATTGCCTCACACACACACATACACTGCCCACCCATATACACACAGACCCCCATACACAGCCCCCCATACTAACATTGCCACACACATACACTGCCCACACACCCTACACATTCACACACTACACCCCCACACACACTACACCCCCACACACACACTGAACCTTTCACACACATTGCACCACTGCTCCTATTCCCTACTACAGCCTCATATCCCAGCAGACCCCAGGTAAGTTGTCAAACTGTTCTTAAATGGTTTGACTACTTACTCTGGAGCAGTAGTGGTTATTGTGCATGAATTATTTCTTTAAATAATCTACAAGTGCCCCAGTAGCCAGCCAGCCAACCCACAGGCTGGCCAGTAGCCAGCCAGTTAGCCAGCCCACAGGCCAGTAGCCAGCCCACAGGCCTACAGCAAGCCACAGGCTCACAGCCAGCAAGCCACAGCCTGCCAGCCGCAGCCTGCCAGCCGCAGTCAGCAAGCCCACAGCCTGCCGGCAGTAGCCAGCAAGCCCACAGCCTGCCAGCCGCAGCCAGCAAGCCCACAGCCTGCCAGCCGCAGCCAGCAAGCCCACAGCCTGCCAGCCGCAGCCAGCAAGCCCACAGACTGCCAGCCAGCAACAGTAATTAAGGTAAGAGGAGCCAACTTGGCTTAGGTATCAGCGAGCTATATTGTGTTGCTATATTGTGAATAGGAACCAGAGTGTTGGAGAGACCACCCTCCAGGCCCCATTAGACTCTAGCCTCTGCTAGAAATCCCCTCCATGGCCCATTAGCCCTCAATTGTAGTTTCTACTGGGGCCTGGAGGCGATTGTTTCCAGCAGGGGATATCTAATGGACGCTGAGATGGCCTCTGTTAGAAAGACCCCCTTCCAAGCCTATTAGACTCCATTGTAGTCTCTAATGGGGCTTGGAGGGGATTCTTTCTAACACACCCTCTAAAGGACACTGAGATAGCCTCCGCTAGAAAGACCCCCCTCCATGGCCCATTAGCCCTCAATTGTAGTCTCTACTGGGGCCTCGAAGGGCTTATTGCCCTTTTGTTCCTTGTGTCTAAAGATTGTGTAGGGTGTGGCTGGAGGCGGTGCACGGAGGCGGGACAAGGGTGGCGCTTGCTGCAGAGTATGGGTGGGGCCTGTAAGGGGGCCCTTGATTTATTTTGCCCGGGGGCCCTGAGGGTTCTCAGTCCGCCCCTGGTAATACATGGTGTATGAGTGTATCACCTGCGAGGAAAGGGTTATTATGGTCTTCACCACCTGCTGCCCTCCAAGTTCATTTTGATATATTTTCAATGCATTGCCCTTTTAATTGGGGGCAGTTAGTGGCACCAGCCCTATCCCCACCATTCCTGTACGGATCTCACCTGCATACCTCCCAACTTGTGTCTCCCTTCTACAAGTACCTCTCTCACCACTTCCCCTACGTGGGTCTTTAAGTCTGTAAAGGAAATGATCCATTTGAGTCTCTCTCCACGTCCTGATCCGCTTTTGTGTCTTTCCAACCCCTTTTCATCTATGTGGATTCTTGTAATGTGGTTGAATGGCATCAGAGGCCATGTATGCACCTTAGCAGGGTTACTTATTAAACATCCAGGTGTGCTGCATGCTATGTGAGCGAATAGAGAGGCTGAATATGACATTAATTCATTATCCTTCCCCTGTCTGCTCAGACAACATTTACCAGGCTCTGACCTGCATTCTGTTCCTACTTGCAACCGGTAACTGTACAGAGGGGTGCACTAGTTTGTGGTGGCCCTCAGTCACAGGGGCCCTTCCACTGATACCTTCTAGACTACCTCCCCTTAGTATGCCACTGGGCATTTTTTTTTTACATATAGAGATATGTGTCCAGGAAGAGGTGGAGAGTCTGGGGCATTTACATGCTGCAGCTTTTATTAATTAGTTGCTTTGATATTTCTCTTTGATTACTTAATTTTTCTCCTTCCCTTTAACATGATAGGAAAACACTTTTTGGCTGCTTCCCATCACCACATACAACAGTTCAAGGTCAAGAATCTGGCAACCCAATACATTGTAGATCGGAGATGCATGTACCACTATCTTGCCTTAAAACTAAGAAATTTGCTTGTTATTTTGTAAAAGTAAGAAGCAACAGTTTTACTTTCCCGGTGCCAGTTTGTACTAAAATAATTATTCCATTTACTCCCAGGCAATTACACTGATTTGGCACTCAGAGCTAATCTACCACCAATGGATCAACTTACCCCTTTCCTTCTATGTTGCAGACATGCTTGATGTAAGGGCCCCAATCAAACGTTCCCGTCTCACCGCGTAGCCACTTCCTAATCTCGTCCCGATTCACTTCCAAATAATCAGTCAGAACCACTTCTTTAAACAGCTCAAACGCGCTAAGTAGCTGGTACACCGTGGGCCCTGTGCCAATGTCTACCATAAGCTGCCCTCCAATCTCACCTGCAGGCAAAGACGCACAGAGATGGGTTGATATCAAATTTTAAAGTAGATTAGACCTTAGCTGTTTTCAACAGATATGTGCAGAGCTATTTACCAAAATAAGAATTCAAAGTGGATTTTACATTTTAGACCAAGATAGCATTGGTGACCAGTTACATCTCTTAGAGCTTATTTGATATTTCTGGATAACAGAACATCACATAACTGTATCAAAGTGGAGCAAAAATTATTATTGGCCTCTAATAATGGCCCCAGGGGCAGCCATCTTGGATTTCTCAGCTCTATGAGATTGAGGATTAAGTTAGAATTCAGACTGTCAAAAAAGTCATGTCAGTTACTGCCCTGAGTAGGAAGCTCTCAAAGGGTTATTCGCTAAACTCCAAATTCTCTGGAATAAAAAAATTAAAAAAAACAAAAAAAAACACACAAACACAAACAGGTCTGGGTGCCTATAGTGGTCCTTTAACAGCCAAATTTGCGGTTCTTGGCTGTAAATCTGTAGTATAAGTTTGATCACAATCACCTGGGGTGGGGACCTGCAGTGCCAGAAAACAGTTTGCCCCAAAAGATATAGAAGGTAAAACTGATGCAAAATAGCCAAGTTGTGACTATGGTAGAGTTTGAGAATTTTCTCAGATCAGCATTTTTGTTGCCTCAGTTTTTCCATTCAGATTTAACTTGCAAAAATTATGAATTTAATTGTGTATGGTTTTATTTTTCATTATATGACAGTACACATCCTTAAAAAAAAAGGGACAATCTAAGCACCATAAAAACTACAGTGTGCGGTAGTGGTTATGGTGCCTGGAGTCCCTTTGCGTCTTCCTCCGTTGAAGAGTCAAACCAGTTTGGAACAGTTTGACAACAGCGTCCATCAGATACCCATGATCCTACACTGCATCCCCCCCCCCCCTTGCCGCATTCCACTTTTGTTAAACTCTGATTTTCCCACTTCAAACCAACTAGTGGCCATACCAGCCAATTAAATGTGGTACATCTGGCAAATATCTGCTTGAGCTACCCAGCTCTATCCTGCCCAAAATTCATTTTTATCTTCGACCTAACTGCAATGTATGAATTTTATACAGTTCCCACATAATCGCTCTTTTGTGAAAGCAGTTAAGAGCTCCCATTCTCATATAAAAACTTGATTTAAAAATCTACTTTTTTTTCCTAATGTGCTCTATCCACTTAACAATGATTTAGCTAGCAAGTAAAAACAGACACGCAAAAAAAACCTAAACTGATAAAAAGCATATAGTTAATAACCCCTATTTGCATATTGATTTCTGTACTAAAAAACGTAAAAAACACCCACACAAACCACAAAACAATTGGAATGTCAAAATAATTACACACAGAATAGATTTAAAATTACAGATCTATAGCTTCGTATACTACACCCTGTATTACAACAGATCTTCCAGCACAGGGACGCACACACGTTTAAAATGTTTACTGTGAGTAAATCTAATTAAAGGCACACCCCTGCGTATTTTTGCTATGTAAAATTTTATAGGACAACCGTAGTTTAGGAGAGAGGGTATCCACTATACACCAAATTGCAATGCAGCAGTAGGCAAGCTTTGGCACTCCGGATATTGTGGACTACATCACCTTAAAGGCTAGCAAAGCATCAGGGGAGATGTAGTCCACAACAAGTGGGGTGCCGAGCGTTGCCTACCCCTGCTTTAGTAAAAATTAAAAAAAAAAAAACAAACAAAAAAAAAAACCAACCTGTTGAATTGCAGATTTTTTCCAACTCGTCTCTTTTGGTCTAAAATTGTGCAATTTGGTTTTCAATTCAGTGTTTAGCGCATTGACCATTTTTATCTTGAATTTGATCCGGTGCATCCCGGAGAGGCTGTCAAGAATTAGGTGACCGGAGTAGATTAAAAATTGACGTACCTGAGGCACACGCGTCGGCCAGGCATCTCAGCTTCCACGGCACCACGCTGCCTGGGTTGTCGAAGTCTGCCCTTGGTGGTATGTAATTATTCTGCAGGTATGCTCTGGGATTGAAGGATTGGTAGTTCTCAGCGATAGTCTGAATAGTGCTCATGTTTGCATTGATGCTTCCAATTCATGCACACCCACACTTTATAAGCCAATGGCGTTAGTCCTGCCCTGCTATCATTCACCATTAGTGTTATACTGACCATTACTCAACATTACAGTTCTTCCTCCGGTACTGTGATAGCATCTCCCATTTAGTCTGTCTGCCCTCAGGAGGTAGAGAACAACACAAGGGTATTTAAAAATGTCATTACTTTATCTGACAGACACCACCCTGCCTAGAGGTGAGCTTCATTACTATATATTTTTAATGCATATGAATGCACAGCACTAAATCACCCATATAGGGTTTAATCATTAGACAGAGAATTGTTGTCAGCTGAAAACTGAATTGCAAAATCTAGGCTAAATTAGCTGAATTGCTACTTACTTCAATTCGATGTTTTGTGAATACACTCCATTGTGGGTCTCAGATATACCTGGTTATTCCTTTTTATTTCCACTATAACTCAAAATCAAAAGGTTTTAAAGAAGAAAGAAAAAGTGATAATTGAAAGAGTTAAAATAAGTAAACTACATTAACTTTTTGGTATGTTTCTTTATTTGTTTTTTTTAAATTTTATTTGTGAGAGATTGTTTTACAGGAACACTCTAAGAACCATAGCCACTACACCATAACCACTACACAGCTATGTAGTGGTTATGGTGTAAGGTGTGCCCCGGCTGCTTTTCAATGTAAGTAGTCACACTGGTTTAGAACGATTTAATGTCTTACCTGAAGTCCACACCTCCACTACTTCCATAGAGAGCTTGAAGCTCCCGTCAGCTCTTCTGAGCAAAGCCCTGCACTCTCAACCAATGCGTTAAGCCCTGCACCGGTGGGCTTAGCTTAAACAGAGAGCTTCTGGCTCTCTGTCTGAAGTAGTGATGGTGGTTAGCCGTGTGTGACAGACCCCAGATAAGAAGTCATACCGTTCTTCTAAAATGGGTGGTGCCAGTGCACTCCTAGAACCAACACCACTACAGTGGTTATGGTGCGTTGAGTGTCCCTTTAAAGGGATACTGGAGGCACCATAACTGACTGCTTCATTTCATTGTCTACAGGCGCTGTCCTTCCATTCATTTGTAGAGGAACACTCCACTGCTCAAATAAGTTAGAAATCACTGTTTTGTAGATAAGACCCCCAATGAGTACATGCATGCATTTTCATTGGGGGTATATTTTAAAACAGGTTGCAAAAGTTGCAGTTCTTATGCACTGCACCCTCTGCAAGCTCTCCACTTTTTTTTCCCAGCAGAGACTTTCTGATAGCCAATCAGAGGCTTCTCTTTGGGAAGCCTTTGAAGGTCTCCCTCTGTGCATGCGCGCACACTTACAGCATTCTTATCTGAGGTCTGTGGATGCTGGCTGAATTTGGGGGGTGGGAGGGGTTGTGAACATGTATAGTAGGAGTTCCCAATCCAGTCCTCAAGTACCCTTTACCAGTCCAGGATTTAGACATTATCCTGTTGTGTCTAAAGTGTTTTTTTTTTTTCTTTCTAAAAACACAACTTGGTAAACCCTACATCCTGGACTGTTAGTGAGTACTTGAGGACTGGGTTGGGAACCACAGATCTATAGGAATGGATAAGTAGCACTGGGCATGATTTGTAGTGTTGAAGAGAGTGTTTGTTTATTTTGTATTTATTTTTGTTAAATTGTTATGGAATGTTGTCCTTTGATTAACGGGTTACAAAGTAAGTAAAAATGATCGGCGAGAGAAAGACATTTGGAAGATGTATACAGATTCCAATTTAAGAAATAACAACCTATTAGTAATCATTTCAATCAGGGGCATTCTAGGTAGTAAACAGAACGTGGGCTTCAGCCTCAAATATATTTGATACATAATACAGATTAAGGAACAGATATACATAAAAATACAGTTGTAATTTTATAGGGTTACTTAAAATCACCTATCTCCGCAAACAAATATGGGGATTCAGTTCCATCATATGGCGATGTTGTGTTATTGCCCACCACTACTTTACAGTACCCCAATGTCGCTGGGTCCTACACTAATTCCAGTGTGAGTGCTAGTGCTAAATAAACTAAAGTAAATTATAATAATCTGTTACAGCATTGTGAATATATATAATGCAAACTTAAAGTGATAAACACAATTTTAAATGTAGTGTCAAAACTTAACAATTAAAGTAGTAGTGCTTTGATGTATATACTCATAAAGCATATACACCTCAGCATATACACCTCAGCCCTTTTAGCACTAGCACTATTTATTTGTCTCCTACATTAAGAATTAGTGTAGGATCCCGCGATATTGGGGTACTGTGAAGTAGCGTTGGGCTTAACACGATATGGCCATACGTTGGAACTGAATCCCCATACATGTTGTCTGAGATAGGTCATTTTAAGTAGCCTGATAACATTTAAAGTTTTATTTTTATGTGTACGCTATTATATGTGATGTATTTCTATGTATACGCTATTGCTTAATCTGTATTATGTATGACTTTTGATCACTACGGCAGCACCACCATTCCTGCAAAATGGCGTGTCTGCAATTCATTTTTGTCTTTATATAAATATATTTAATGGCACGTCCAACATTTTTTTTTTTAAATCTTTATTCATCTCATTCCACATTTGAGTAATGCAAAATATTACAAAATAAGCCACATTTCAATACTACATGAAGTATAGATAATATAAACTGCTGACCATGTATTAAAAACATCTCTAAAAATACTGTTATCCGAATAACATGTTACCCCATATATATTAAAACTCAAATAGGAAAGGTGGGTGTTTCCTTGGTGAGTAAATAAGAGCCCTCTTGGTATCCCCCTTCTGTAGAAAATGTCCCTGATGTGGTAATAAAGTTCCTCATGAGATCTGTGAACATCAGCAGCAGTGTAGAGCCTTCAAAGTGACTCTGGGGTTTCCCCCTCATTGCAGTGTGGAGTAGGGTCTTGTCCTAAATCGAATGGAATTAAATAAATGAGGTTGCGGATGGTGGTGCCTTCCCCAGTTTTGATAAGCAAAACATGCCATCCAATTGTATAAGTTGTTTGGGTGGTAGTAATGCCGTTAAAGTTGCTAAGTGCGGTAGGTCAGTAAGATCCAGATTCTACGGTATGCCCTTTAAATTGTAATGTCTCCTCTATTCCTCAAGAGCGTCCACTCTCACAGTGGTACGAAGTTGTTGCTGCTGGAGTTCCTCAGGTTTCCGCTCCGCTGAGTCATGAGTACGAGTAGAGGCCTCCTGCAGGATTATCTTCATGGTGGAATCCTCTATGGTGTCCTTAAAGTGGACTTGATGCCAGGGACTTAATCCATTGCAGCAGAGGACCAAGAACCGGTCACACTACTACACATACGCACACACTGTTACACATAGTCAGATGCAGTAAATCTCAGCTATGAATTTGAAAGCCAACTATGTTTTCAAAATGGATATGCCGGCTAAAATTTTAAATTAAAAAAATATTGAATTGCCAACACTTCAGTGAATAAAATTTTATGAGTTTACTTAAAATCACCTATCTCAGCAAACAAATATGGGGATTCAGTTTGAATAAAAAGGAACATTGACCCACCTTTCATCAGAAATAGCTTGATTTTTTTTTGATTTTTTTTTTTTTATGTAACATCCATTTTTGCTACACATATATTTCCAATTGCATTGAATACTCATCTTGGTCAATCCCTCACGGATACCTAAACATAAACACTATCAACAGCTATGGACCAAATGCAATGCTTAAAAACCATACTAATAAAAAATATACTGTATTTTATATAAATCTAAATTATATTACCCTGTTTATTGTCGGGGGATGCTCGCAATATAAGCCCTACCCGAAAATAAGCCCTAGTCGCTAGTACGCTAATCTATGTTCGAGAAATTTTCCCTGAACATAGATTCACCAGATTACATTCACAAGTAAACTAATCTATGTTCAGGTAAGTTTCCCTGAACATAGATTCACGGGATTCCATTCGTAAGTAAGCTAATCTATGTTCGGGAAAGTTTCCTGAACATAGATTCGCTGGATTCCATGCCCTAGTGGAATTCCCCCGAACGTAGACTTGCTTTCTAGCACATGTTTGCAACAGTTTTTCCCTGAAACAAGACATCTCCCGAAAATACAACCTAGCGCATTTTTCTGGGGGAAAGTTAATATAACACCCAGTCTTATTTTCGGGGAAAGACGGTACATTCTGTTACTAACATATTCAGCGATCCCTGTGTGTTGTTACTATGATGCTCCATAATCTAAACATTAAGCACAATAAATAATAGTTTTTTTTTAGTTTAAATAGTACACATATAGAAACACTTGATGAAAAACATATACAATAATCTAGTAAATAGACCCCTAGATAAAACATGCATGTCATTAATTTTGCATGTTTTTTGGGAGGTATATGAAAAATCCTGGCTTACAATAGCTACAGATTTCGCTTCATGTCCGGGTAGCACATTGTAAATGACATTTTGCAGCTCTGCTAACGGTACGCAAACAGTGATAAGTTGTCTGACAGAGGCAGACATAGTGCAGGCTAGGCCTGAGGCCTACTGACACCACCTTCTTACAAAGACGTTATGTCATATAACCCTATTATACAAGAAATATGGTTGCTGCCGGCTCCTCTATCATTTATCTGTCTTCCTCTCCTGCCTTTCCGTTCACTCTATCCTACTTAATCTCTTGATATATTGTTAATCTTACTGTTGTCCTCTTAAAAAGCATTATTATTGATTACATAATACGCACCAATATATTGAACAGCAACGGACAGAGTAGAGATAGGATATCACATTTGAGAGACCTGGTTCCATACAGAAAGTGATAAGCCGTCTGTTCAGAAATTAAATCCAGTTTAAATGACATACAACAATTAGAATAATCAGCCGTTGACTGTAGAGATATAGATAGAGGGGTTGACCACAATCCAGTGTGAGTAATTATTCAACATTTTTATTGTTTTATAAATTTTTATTGATCAGTATTGAGAGAGAATTATCAAGAAAATCACAA